GTAATGGATCAAGTAGATACACCCTTGCAGTATTATCATTATTATTATTAGTAGTAGTAGTAGTAGTAGCAGTAGTAGTAGTAACAACAGTAGCAGTAGTAGTACTAGTAGTAACACACATCCACAAGGGATCAGGTCAGGTGGAATAGATATACCCTTGCTGCTGTAGAACATACAACCTTTTCTCCACTGCATCTTTGTCTGCAAATAAGAAGACAGAGCAAATGGAACTAAGCGTAAACAGTCAATTATCAGTTATACAAGACAATGGTGGCATCTTCACACAGGATTCAAAGCACAAAATAAATAAAATGAGAAATGATGGATTAGAGTATGCACAAATAGAGATATGACAAAACATCAAGCAATTTAAAAAAAAAGGAGAAGGTGGAATGGAAGAACGGCATATGTGGTAGAAAGGACGACTGAAGGCCAAAGAAAATAATTTCAAGGAAGGAGAAAATAAATCAAAATGTAACACCACATCTTTCTTACAACTTTCATCCGTAATTAGCGAGACAGAAGACGACTGATCAAGCTTACACTTTATGAGCAGGGTGCGGTCCTGCTGATAATTCACTTGCTGCGACAGGCTGTGCAGCAGTATCTGTGCAGTTTGGTAACGCTGAAAACATTCCTCTGGGTTCCCAAACAACTCGTCCAAAGCTGCCGACTGACACTATGACGTACAAAATTCACATTTAAAAAGGGCAGACAACTAAACTAAACTAATTCAATGCAGCAGTTTTCTGCTTCTTATGGAATCCTAAGATCCATCACTGTATTTACAATGGCTTGCCATTAGTGAGATTTTCTTAAAAAAATCTCCTGACATAATTAAATTATTTATTTGTTATGATAATCTTTATTCCTGTTCACCATCTCCTACAATTGTCTGCCATGATGACACAGTGATAATTTTATGATGGTTACCTTGCAATGAAAGAGCTGAGGGCACCTATCACCGTTTCACTATAAAAATCTGTAACAATCACTTATCAACAAGATAAGAGACTCGGTTAAACTGTAACTGGTATAAGATATTAACAGTAAAATAACTTCAAACTTTAAACATGTAACCCCTGTTTTAAAATTTTATTTTCAATAGCAGCACAGTTATGTGACGAGATCAACGCTGTCAAGGATTCCTCAGTGTCAATGACAAGACACCTCAACTACTGTAACTGCATCATGAAATGTTCAATTATCAAACTTCCACACAGAATACTTTCCTACAACTATAAGCTTAAATAAAAATGTTCTGACCATTTGGATTGCATGGTTGTAGAGAATCTTGTCAGCAGTAATGTTTGTGCTTCCTGGGTCCACACCAGCCCTTTGCAATAGCCCAGGAGTGTTCAACTGCTTGCAATCACTCAAACATTGTCTGAATTTGGCATTTAGAACACTAACAACTGGAAATTAAAAGAATACAAGCATAAATAAAATGTGCGATCAAGAGGGAGTAATAAAGGTGAGAAGAATGGCGACAGTCATCCAACTCAGAATCCTTACTCAGTGCCTAAAAGTGACAGGTTATTTACCTTTTTTCTTTCTTTCAATATATCTGATATGTCAAAAGAAGAAGAGCTGAAATTTAATTCTGAAGCAATGAAATTGTTACCAGAGGAATCTGGAATTTTCATGAAATTCAGTAGGGACAACATGCCACTGGAGAATAACACATTTTTGTACAGTGAATTTACACTGAAAGTTGGCTACATCGCAGAATGAACGAAGATGGGAATCTCCAAAATTACAATTACTTTTCTGTAACATCAATACCTAAACTAAGATTCACAATTAATCCAGTTACCGTCTGCCCGCAACGAACACTTACCACTCTTAACGGAAGCCGAAGGTTGTAGTTGGCCTGTTCGTAATTGCTGAGTTGCCAAGTTGAGCCCTGAACTAAGCAGCTGCAGTGCCCGTACTAGCAACACTAACCGCTCAGCACGACGACCACCTTCAGTCTGCTGACATCCAGCCGTGCTCTCAGTCAGTGCTGCTAATGGCGTCGCTCTTGCTTGTGCCAATTCAACAACGCAGTCTGACAGTGCCAGCACAAAGTTCAGCTTGGCTAGAGTCTCATTATGTTCTCTCTGCAACACGTCATGGCAGAATAGCGTAACTACCGGCCCACAAGGAATCTGCTTTCGTAAAATGTGCCGATTCTCTTTTAAATTAATAACATTAATATATACCCCTTAACTTCATCGTGCACATTAAAGTTCACTGCATAGTGACTGTTTCCATTTCCATTACGGAGGGAAAAGTTGTAGACCCTCACACCGCATTACACTAACATGCAGATTATTCAGTCTTTTACACTATATACTTACACTCACACAACAATATGGCAGGAACTTCTACCACAAAATCAAAAGTAGGATCTTCAATAGAACATTTTTCACCTGACACACAAAGAAAGACCGGATGAATGGAAATTCACTTCTCAATCCAAGAATTAAACTTGCCCCTTGCACATTTAAATGCTTTCCCTTAAGTCATATAATAATATGACAGTCACCTCTAAAAGTGTTTCCTCAGGCAGTTCTGGTGCAACAAAAGTAATGGGGCCATCCAATGGAGGAGCGGGAGCATCATTAAAAAGACGCTGGTATCCACCTATAAAAAAGACAGGTAAGTGCACAATGCATAGAATTCACATGTGTATATAACAAATTCCAGTTTTCATCGAACGACAAAATATTACGGGGAAAGGCACAGAAACAAAAAAAATTAAATTCTATTAATTAATGTAAATATTGATTCAAATACGTAGATTAATCATGTGAATTAAATGACAGTAACAGATCAAGCTGAACGGCTGTGTTAAACTAGGATTAAAGTATGAATGAATAAAATATGAAAAACACTAATAATTTTGGTGGGGAATTCATTGGTTGACTCAGACAAATATATTATAATTAAATCAAGAAAATGTTTTGTGGAGGTGTGAAATGCATTGGTATGACTGGTAGTATCCAGTCAAATTTGATTTCAGACTTGGTTCAGACATATGGAAGCGACTGCGACCCACCCTGAAACTAAAAGCCGCCTTCAAATGTAAGAAGACTTCACTTTTTATTTACCTTCATACGTTATATAAGACTGCATATTATCGTGTAAAAATTTATGTCATCAGTTAAATGTAGCAGATTTCTACAAAATACCCTACCTTTTCCTTTTTTCTCTTATGTCACTTAAAACAACAGAACACTGTTTTGTGCTGCACAGTCTCCGTGCATGCAGAAGAATGCCATCTTACTCTTTTTAGCAGTATTGAAAAGAAACTCATAGTGCAAAATGATAAAGTGTTGCCTAAATTAACAATACAACAAACAAGTGAGGTGTTGAAGAAACGTTGTTACTCGGAATGCTTCTAGCAGACACACCTTCCTCCACAAACTTAAGAAAAAAGGAACTTTTGATTACTATGATCGACTTTTCACAGCCTCCTACATTTCACAATTAAAACAATATTAAGTGATCTGCATGAAAAACAAAGCTTCCTCTTATGTAATATCCTAAATGCTTGTTACCTGAAATTTCAGGAAGTGTCATAGCTCGTGTACCAAATGGCATGACAGGTGAGTGGTGTGGATTGTTATTGTCAGCCATGCGTACTGGTGAGTCCAAAATAGGAGGAAGCACAGCTAATGGGCCACTCAGAAGTGGTGAGCTGGCACCTGTCGTAAGGAGACACAAATGAACGACACTTCAGAAGGCAGACTTTTTCAAACTCAGGATAATAGTCATTATAATTATATAAACATTCTGTATAGAGCAATTCAATATTTTTAATCAAGAACACATAACAGTAATTTCTTCTTTTTTGTGGGCATATTCCAAGTAACAACACATACAAAAATGTGATTATTTTTCCAGAAAAAATTAATCAGGGAAGAGGTCAAGGCCAACATTACATAAATATCTAAATATATTTCTAAGAATATCTCCTAAATATTATCCTAACATACAAAATGTTGAATAAAAAGCACACCACATATTTGCCTGTCATTGCTCAGGACACCGATTTCTGTACTCCTAACATCTACACAGCCCACACTGTGCAGTAACATCTTCTTTCCTCAAAAATAAAGAGAACCCCTAATTCAAACAGCACCCTCGTTCCCATGCCCCTTGAACCCAATTTAATGCAAAGAATACAAACAAGGACCGTACCTGACCGCCTGAGAGGTGAACTTGTTGGTGTGAGTTTCCCTCCAGATACCGGAGAAACTTGCCAAGTAGTGACAGGAGGTGGAGTTTCACACGAACTTCCTGATGCTGATCGTCGACGCTGCCCTCCTCCTGGTGGTGTTCCAATCATAAACTGAACCTGAACAGACACAAACAGATTTATGCGTGTAATTCTCACTCTCTCAGAAACAAGGATTAAAAGAACAACACTCACAGCAAATCAAGTAAACTTAGTTTATATTTTGTGTACTTACTTATCTGTGGTTCATTTAATGACCCTGTCAGCAGCACAGATTATAAATCATCAAAGGATAGAATCAATTATAAATAATGAATTTGAAAGGATATAGTAAGGTAGCAGCTGCGACCTAATTTACATTAGTATATCATGGTACTGAAAAACATACGAATCAATTTGCATTCAAATTGCACGCAATGTGTGGATCAAAAATGATCACCATTTTCATGTGTCAGGATGACCAACAATTCAAAGCTTTAATTAACATTAAATATTTAAGTCCTAAAACTGTCACTGGTGTAGCCAACTTCACTATTTCAAATAAATTTTTAAACACATAAAGATCACTTCTAACCACCTTGTATTTGAAGTCCCTACAAGTGCATTTGTATTTCAGTACTTCAATTGTGATTGAGTATATTCTGAGAATGTGATAGGACTGGGGTAAGCTGACTGTAAAAATCTAAAATCTCAACAACATGCAGCAATTATATATTTTGCAGTATTGCATGTTGAAATCTGAAGGACAGCCCAGTCAGATCTGAAACCTGCATAATTTCCGTTTGCTCTAAAATCAAATATTTATGCTTTAAAAAAAAAAAGGACTTACTGAAGGTGGGGAGAGCGAGCTGAGATCCGGTGGCGCTGTCCTTGTGTGGTCACTACCTCGCTTCATACTAATTGGCTGAGATCTGGGAACTGTGCTCTGCAACAAAAAAATTGCAGTGAAGTGGTACACACATACACACACACATTTAAACACAGATTTATCTTAACTGACCATGACTTTAGGAAAACGAAACAGTTTTCTTTTCCGTGAAGAACGGATAAAAATTCTTTTATTCATCAAGTACCAATTTTACACCTTCACATAACTTAGGTAGGAATGGAGAGGTAAGTGCAACTGAGATGAAGTTTCCTAATTAGCCTTTTCACATCTCTCTAAGGTCTTCGTATTCATTTGCTGCAAATAGCAATACATTGCTGAAATAATTTAGGTATGATGATTTTATTTTTGCTTTTCACTGTAGACACCTGATTACTGTTGCCTAGCAACTAGATCAGAGATAAAGAACAATGGGTAAAAGGATTTTACATATAAGATTATAAAGCCCTGCTGAATGTTTCTTTAATTACTGTGAAACTTATCATACATCACAGTAAGACTACCAGGTCATTTACCTTCGTTGGGGAGGGCAGTCCATCATTGGGGTGCAGCTGCTGATATACACACCGCTGTGTTGGAACTGGAATTGGCTCTGAGATAGGAAGGAAACTGGGCCTTGGGGGGCTAGCAACTGCCAAGCAAGGCCTGTGCGCCACAGCCCTGAAATAAACACATTTTAGGTCACAAATGTTGATAAACTTCCACACTCTAGGACAAAAAGTTAAAGTTGTCATAAGAAACTCACTGCCTGTCTGTAGGATTACTGTCACTGGACTGGTCTGAAGGGAGGTTAGAAGGAACCAAAACAAAGTCATCTGTTTCTTCTGGACTTGAACTGCTTCCCTGCCCTCTAACAGAAAGTGGAGACCCTGCCAAAACGAGAAAATCATTTCAGATTACAACACTCACATTTACACCAGGCTGATGTCAACAGATATAATAAGTATGGGATTAGAACACACACTAAAATCCATTAGCTAATTTACAGAAAAACACACAGTTGGCCGAGTTTCAAATAACACGTTAGCACACAGCTTCAGCATTATGTAACAGTTATTTATATCCAAACAGAGGAGTATGAACTCTGGACATGAGCCATATTACATCACGAGTCAGAGATGATGGAACTCTACTCAAATATATTATAATTTGGGGCCTTCATGCGCACTAGTATGTTGAAATTTTACACAAATATTAATGGAATAGTACACATCACAGGTTACTTTAATATATTACAAAATGTTGCCAAAAGTAATATTCATAATAAATTGTATTATTCTAAAAATAGGGCAAGCAAGGTATATATATAGCAGTGATAATGATCAGGTAAAAGACAAAAAGTGTCAAAGGTTGAATTAAACACTTACAAATTTATGGTTCTCATTTTTAATTTGGGGAAATAAGACAAATTATCATTAAATCTACTGCCGAATCAAATTAATATTATTACTATTAAAACGGCCAGTCTTTCCCCAATTTGAACAAAATCACTGCACAGACAACCGAAAGAGTGCCCAGTTCCGCTTTCAGTACTGTCTTATCTATGTGTCCCCAGCCATTTTAAAAACAATGGAATATTTTCCACACGACTGTATAAATTTATGAAGTCAAAATCACAGGAAACTAATTAATAACGTTACTGAAATTTTGTAGATGATGGACCACTAAAGAATATGTACACATTCTGTTAAAATTACAGTAATTGAAAAAGAAAATGAAAACATGGAGGCCACACACAACACACAGCAAAATGTCAACACAACAGACACTAAATTAACTAAAGTTTCACCTCACAAAAACAAGTTACCAATTATTTCGTGTTTATATAATTTTATGAAAATTCAAACTGAAACAAAATCCACATGGACAAGTCAAAAGACTTGAGTGCATGTGTTTTATTTTCTTATTTACCTTGTGCAGAGGAAGCTTAAAGGTGTGAATCTATCATATGTATCATATGTACCAGCATGTAATTTGAGGAAAGGAGAAATACTTATTTATGTATGATACATAAACTTGAGACTGTCACTGTCACGTGAGTAAACATGACAAAATATTAAAACACGTATGTACCTGGATCTGGGGAGCTTCGATCAACCCTCTGTTGCACTGGGCTTGCCGTAATCGCAGCTGCTGCTGTAACGGGGGTAAAAAGCGTGCCAGGAGAAGGTGGAAGTTCTCCTAAAATACACAAAGGAAACAAGTTGAAAGAGGCAGATCATACGTAAACAGCATTACTAGTGACAAATATAATTAGCACGCAGACAATTTTTTAATAAGAACAAGATTGCTGAATGACGAAAGATGAAACACCAAACACCCACCGATTTCTTCAGTCACGTGTCAGTTTAGAAGAACTACATTATTAATAAAGTGTACACAGTAGATAATGTGGTGACATTTTCTATGGGTACTTGCCCTGGTAAGCATAATTTCCTTTATTCTCGTATGTTCAACTACGTATTTACACATGGAGGGCATCTGGTGGCCACAATGTGAAATGGTTTTCTACTGTGTGATGCCTTTCCTAGTTATCAGTCTGCAGTGGTGATAGCACGATTGTTACAACACATGAGAGTGGTTATCTAATGACCAACCAAGAACTAAAACCATCACAAACAGGCATTTAAAATATTAGATCAATGCCAGAAAGTTATGAAAAAATGTCCAGAAACGACAAGTCATTTCTTGCCAGGCAAGCGCCATATGTTCCTTCGGCGCAATCCTTAGTCGATTTCAGTTACCTGGCAAGGGACAAGACGGCGGTGACCGAGGTGGCGTAGGTACTGGGCGGCGTTGTAGGAATGGGTGGTTGAAGAAACTATCAAACGGTATACGGTCACAAGCATTACGTCGCAGTAATCCAAACAAAAGATCAGCCAATTCTGGAGATGTCCCTGACGGGATCCTGAGGACAGTCAGATAAAATAAGCAGTTTCATTTAATCCTCAAGAGAGTACATAAAATGTAACAAGATCAAGAAAAACTGTAAACTCACTTTGGAGCAAGGTTTGCATTCTTCTCATAGAACTGTTTGAGCGCTTGTGGTGTCTGGGCATGGAATGGCGCCTTGCCAGTCAGACACTGAAACACTATGGTACCCAAGCTCCAGAGGTCTGCTTTGGCATCATACTGTAGAGACATGATCACTTCTGGTGCCTGGAAAAGAAACTGAATGCTTAAATAATTGTGCACATCAAAATAGTGTATTTACAAATATATAATAAAGCATGCATTTGAAACATGTGTTACATAAAACCCAGTTTATGTTTGGTTGTGCTGACAAGAGAGCAAACGTTCTCAGTTATGATGTCACATGGAAAAATGTTCAATTTTACGTGTGGCTATGACAAGACAGCATTAGAGTATCTCTAATATGGATGACAAAATGATGGGAAAAGAATAAAGGAGAAAGTACAAAAGGAATAAGAAAAGCAAGAATAGATGAAGGAAACAAAGACATGCAAGAAATCATTCCCACTGATTTTCAATGGATCTTTTGTTTCAGTAGTGAATATCTGACCAAACTCATATGAATACATTAATTTTAGAAACCTCTCCTTCTAAACCCTACACTCTAATTTCCTCAATCCTACTTTTACATCACTTTTCATCAAAAGTAAAAGATCATTTTGTTACATTAAAACAGCTGTAGCCTGACTCCTCTTTTCTTTACTTTTAAATCAAAATTTAAACACAACACAGATTTTCATGCAAAGAAAAAAGAAGTTTATGAACTACTTTCAACTTGCCATGTACATTGGCGATCCACAAAGCGTAGCTGCCATAACTCCATCTTGAAGGAACCTTGCAAAGCCAAAGTCGGCTGAGGACAAAACACAAGATTTTAGAATGTCAGAATGAACTTGATTTCTGTACTTATATTCTGTACTCGTGTGTTATTACTTACCGATTTTCAGTCGAATCTCTTGCGGGTGTGGACAGGATTTGCCACCACTATGACTCAGCAAAATATTCTGTGGCTTTAAGTCGCGGTGGACAATGCCCTTGGCATATAATGCCTTCATTGCTCCTGCTGCAAGAGAATTCAAATTACTTCTGACAGTCTTTCAAGCAACAGCAGCTTTCTTTTCTGTAAAAACCTTCAAAACAAACAAGCTCCTTACCCAACTGACAGAGGAAAAGTCGAATTGTGTCCTCACTCAGAGTTCCCATCACTGCAATAAATGAAAATAAAATCAGCAACTGCACTAAATGTCACAAATTTGATTCCCAAACTGAATAATGGACATCACACATGTGAATCCTTACCTGCTAAGTAATCTGCCAAATCACCTCCATTGCAGTACTGAAGTAAAAATAAGACATGTTATTTTTTGAAATTTAAAAATCACGAATTGTATAAAACATTAAAAAATAAAATGCACATAGCACAACAAATATAACAAGAACACTATATTACTGCCTCTAGATTTTCATACAATGTATGTGATACTGTGTGTAAAGCAGACAGGGCGGATAACCAAGGACGTACAATTTTAACACTGACAGCCCATTTTTTAATGGTTAGATGATAGATAGCATGCAAATCTCTTTAATTCAATTATCTCTGTAAAGAAGTGTACTGGGTATGTAACAACACATGTTTAATTTTTCTTTACAACTTTCATTCAGAATACTTTTTGTTCTCATACATACTCAAGAAGTTCTGCTTGAGATGCAAGCAGAAACACACATACATCTTCATGTTAAATATTAATTATTGTAGTTCAATTTTAACCAAAACTGGTATGTGTTGCTACATTTGTGTAAAACTCCCAAATATAACACTTCATTCAAACCCATTCACCAGTTCCCAAGTTGCTACATGTGGCTGAATGGATCGACAGATAATGAGAAACGTAATAAGGCAAATTTCTGCAACTTTGAAAGACTTCTTACTTAACATCCTCGCCAAAATTTCAGTAAGTCTTTAGTCTCTGGAAGTATAACGCAAAAGTTCAAATGTTGCCAATATCAAAGTCTGCAATCAATTCCAGAAGCTTAACAACTGTCTATTGGTGATGTAATTTATTTCCCTGACATAATAAATGATACCATCTATGCCAATATTTACAACTGATCAACCCAGACAACCAATTAAATACAGCACTCGCATCAATTCCATCCAGCCCTCATAGCGCAGTCACGTCTGCAGAAGAAGGCAGTCCATAATACAGAGACAATTAAATTCTTACTCACTGCCATCGTTGCTCTTGAATGTAACCTACTGTTTGAATGATGATCCTTTTTATTTATGTACTTTGTGAGTAGCATAAAGTACACCTATTTCAATTCTCATTTAAATATAATGAAGACAATATTCCAACATTTACTTTTGTACATCATACTCCAGGCACACAGCATACCAAATAATGATCTTACACAATGAAGTGTAACTCACCTCCATAACGAGAAACACATTGTGTGATGTTTCCTGCAAAACAGAAGGAAAAGTGAAATATTTATTATATTTAAATATAATTTAGTATAACATTTTAATGTCAGAGACAAAACAGTAAATACCTTGCAGTCAAGCAGTGCCACAACATTGTCATGATGAAGTTCTGTCAATTCCTAGAAAAGGAAAAATTATACATGAATGCACAGCATTCCAATTTGCTACAAAACTCCAAGGACCAGAATATTTCTTCAGACTTAGTAAGTCAACAACGTCTTTGCCTTTTATGAACATGATGGTCCAATGCCATGTTCATAACAGTCTGCCACTGGACCCCATCCTGAGTCAGTTAACTCAGCCCACACCTCACACCCTATTTATTAACATCCATTTTCATACTATCACTCCATCCATGTCTTGGCAGCCCAAGAGTCTCTTCCTGTCAGGTTTTCTGATTAACAGGACACTTATCCTCTCACCCCTCACATACTTCCTACATGTCCCATCATCCTCAACGTAATGATCCTGATAATATCCAGTAAAAAGTACAATTTATTTACTATATATGATGTTAAATCACTGAGTATCATTGAATTCAGAATGAAGGATGCATGAAGGTAACAAGAAATACATAAAAATATTTGTTGTAATATTTCACAGAAACAGTTTCTGTAGAGCTGAAGGCAAATGTAAAAAGATGGTATTGAAATGGATCTTATAGAAATATATTCCAAATAGGCATGTGCACATGACTGAACTGACTAAGGATATAATCCAATGGCAAACTTTTGTTATGAAAATTATAAACTTGCAGAGAATTTCTTCGGCAGCCAAAGATACTGATTGTCTACTACTAGCCATGGCTCGTGCAATGACAGAACAAATTATTATTCTAATACAACAAAGACTAAGATAAGGTTCGATATTATCATCACTGACAAACAATAAGCAATTAACATAAGGAAATGACCACCCTTTAAAACACAAAAAAGACCTTGAATTTTTACATTGCTACTTGCTATATGCTCAACATATACATTATAACTTGGATGAATGAAAAACAAAACAGTTTGCTTTAGCAGTCTGAACATTATAAAACCTACCTTCAATATTTTAATCTCCTTTCCCAGCAAATTCTGCGATTTGGCCAGATTTTTCTTTGTGATGCTTTTAATGGCAACCACAAAATTTGGGTTCTATAAATAAAAAATATGTAAAATATTAACATCTCAAGCAAGCATTGTTATTCTATAACAACTTTTTCAACTCATTTAAAAGACAAATAACAAAAACACGCAAACAAACAAATACGAGTTTTCTTACCTTCCTGTGTCTGCCTTTGAAGACAACAGCAAAGGCGCCATGGCCAATTAAATCCTTGCTGCTATATTCAAACTCACCAACACAATCCATTATATGAAATATTAATTTCCTATTACACTCTAGTTTTGGGTGATGAATCTTTTTCACTTTTCAAGCATATCATTCGTAATGTTAAGTTACGGAACATGGGGATCAATAATCGAAATATTAGCTAGTTCAAATTATACGTACTCATGTTCATAAAACACTTCACTGTTGTCACATTGTTAAAAATACTTTTTATTTATTCCACAATACGCCCACTTAAATTAAAAACACTAAATACATCCGTTATTTGTATTACACAGTAAACGTCAGTCCACACATCCTCCATCTTTTAGTTCACAGCTGTTCCCTCATCACAGTAATAATACTACACCAAACAAATAGTGCGCATTTAGTTAAAATGATGAAATTCCATGTGAAAAAAATGTTTCAATACTATGATGAAATATTATGAGTAAACTTATAACGCACAACAAAGTCGACGTAAAATTGTATTTGTAGATTTAAAAAAATTAAATGCTGCATTTAGGTTACCTGTTGGTTTCGAGATGCTGTACTAGCCTACGAGAAATAGCAAGCAACGTGCGTACATAATGAGTCTTCTATACACATATTAATCCCACCCTTTCAGTAATATTAACTTCCATTATTGCCCATTTCCTGAAGAATCTCTGTCCTTTTTACTGAAATATCAATAAAACACAAAGTTGGCGTGATACAGCACAATCTTGTAATCACGTTATTAGGACTTTCATTCAACTGTCAATGACAGGAACAAAATTAAAATACCTAGTGTCATCTCCTTCTTGCTGTGCTGTTTTCAGCATAGATAATTTGAAGGGCATTTCTTATGATACAAATTCTTTCATCAGCTTCATTATCTTCGCTGGCAGAAAGGAGGCGCAACTGATTATAGGCTTCCTGAAGTTTTTTATCAATTCCTGCACACTTTATTACAAGCTTTCCTTTTTGGTAATTGGCTACTAGAGCCCACACCATGGAAGCTGCTACAGTCTTCTCTTCTGGAGTTCCATCACCAAGCTTCTGATGCAACATTTGCAGGAACTCACCTGCATGTAAACATGTATAAGAAAAATACATGTCTGAACTGCTGTTGGTTTTATACAAGCCAATGAAGTAGTAACTTTTATGTAAATTACCGGCTTCAAACACATGAATGACATAAGACAGGCAAGTCCACAAATTATTATACTCAAAAATGAAAGGCAGCTTACAAACTCCTTAAACAATTCATTTTTTATAACTGCAACTAAAGTTAAACATAGATAAGATCCTTCAAGAAACTGTAATAAATTTATATTCACTAATGGCTTATGATCAAATCAAGGAGGCTGTGATGGGTGAGACATGAAAAATATACAAGACACATAAGAACTGCAACAAAATTTTGGTGAGAAAAACTGAACATAAGAAACCACTCTGGAGTACTAGGTATTGATGGATGGATTATGTTAGGTTGGACCTTAAAGAAAAAGGGTGTGAGGACATGGTTTCTTGTACACATGGTAATGCACCCATAAGATCTTGACTAGGTGAGCAAGTATCAGCTTATCAAGAAGGTCTCTGTTCCATGTAGCACAAGCAATGTTCATGAGTATAATCAAACATACCTGAGCCCAGAAGCCTTGGACGGTTTAGATGATGAAAAGAAATGTTACGTAGAACATACAATGCAGCCATTTTATTTGCCACTTTGGAACTTGCTGCTAGTGATATGAGAAGGTCCACTGCATCTGTAATCTAATAAAAACACAATTACGATCCAAGACATATAACACGTATTTTTCCACAAAATAACCAACATCAACGGATAAATCTGAATATTTTACAGTCCTGCAGGCTAGAAATAGAAAAGAAAACTGATTATATTTGAAGGAAAACAAACTATTAATAATTACAAATAAATGTACATTTTTCTTTCTTCATATGAATGCTGCCATGAACCACAGCACAACTGAGTACAATCTCTTACTACCCACCCCAAACAACCCATAACTTCCCCTCACCACCTGTTATTTGCTCCAAGCATAAAGCAGGAAGTCATATCTCTTCATCTACAAGACTATACTGAACAGATTTTGATTAAACTTGATAATGGCTGTCTACAAACACTCCTATTCATACTTAACCTTAATTAATTTTACAGCCCCACTAAAGACCACAATGAACAGCAATACTGAACCTTTCGGTTCCATAAAAGAAAGGGAGCTTCTTAACTACATGACTATTAGAGTAAAGAATGAAGCAAGGTATGGTAAGAAGGGAAATCATTAAATGAATCTGTGCAATCTCACGCACAGAGCAGACACGTTCGGCAATCAACGAGTAGACCCCATAACCAAAGCTGTTTACCCCTTGCTAAACATCAATCCTTGACAGAACAAACACCCTGCTGCTCAACTTAAATAGCTCTATTCTACCTTAGGCACTGCCAGCTGCCCCTCGGAATGGAATGTGAAGTCTGACATAAATTCAAGCCAAATCAATTCTACTTCCTCCCAGTGCTTCTGTTTCTTGGTGAGCGATGGATGAAGCTTGGGAAGACACTGGAACAGCGTACTCTGGAGGGAAACCGACAGTAATTAGTTCACTACAATAAAACTTAATAACTTACACAGCACGTTGCTAACAGTCAGACACTTCCACCCACACCCAGAAAACTCTGACATTACTGATGGCATTTACCATGGTCTCATGTCAAACTGCAGTGACTGCACCAGAATTGTTATGCTATGCATACATTTCCTTACTTTATCATTGCCCTGTTCAGTAAATGTAACAGTGTATTTTGTCCAGTATGTTGCAAAGGATTAACAGTTTTAATTTCCTTTGTCATCACAGTGTTACAAGTGTTTGCGTGTTGCTAGAGAATGGCTAATGATGCTTTTCTAGAGTATCTGAGTAGACATGCACTGAGAAGCAAAGTTGTATTGCAGCTGTTTGTGTGCATGGAATGAAGTCTCGCCAATAAACTGAAGTTTTCTGAACATCAGACAGCCCAAAGGACACTTTATTTTCTTGTCTCAAATGTAAAATAAGCTTTTCAGAGTTATACAACTATTTGAACACATCTCCAATATTTTAAGATAGTTTATTTTTCACAAACTTTATAACCATGGGAATTAAAAAAATTGTCTTCTTATAGACAGTTGCCTCAGTACTTGGATACTCTGGGGCATGAAGAACTTTTACAAGGTGATCACTTTGCAGTACAGAGTGCTGGAATTCAGAAACTTACGCCAAAACCTCGAATCAGAAGTTTCTCTTTGGTATCTTTGGTAGCTTACCTTGGCAATAACGTTTCTACATTCTTGTGACTGACATGAGTTTGTTAATATTTGAAATGACAAACTGAGAATTCTTGCTTCATGGGCACAGTTCAATGCTTCCATCTCTCTATGAACAAGGCTCACAATTTCATGCAGTAAAGACAATGAACTTGGTGTTTTCCTGAGTCCTACACCGACAACTGTTGTTGTCAGCACAAGTGATTGCGTGGCTGCAAGAATTAGAAATCTGTATTATATACTCATACATTGTAAGCAAAACAATGCTGAAGCAGACATCTCCAGACACGCAGCTCCCAAACAATAAATGTTGAACACACACTCCATTATCCAAGAGCAGTGAGTTGCACTACTCTCTGTGCCCCCTTAAACCATTATACCACTTACGTGTAACCATATGAAAAAGTTTTTGAAACAGCAACAAATAACATTTGTGAATTAAATTATTGGTTATCATCAATGTGGATTCTGTTATAATAGACTAACTCTGACATCAGGACCACAGTATTTCATGTTATGATGCTGTTAGTCTCGCAGGTTGTCGCCAACATTTTGGAAAAACTCACTGCCTCCATCATCAGGGTGAAAGTTACTTCTATGAATGAAAATTATAAATTCCTCTGAAACATTAGTGACCATGTACAAGACTGCCTGGCATCATAACCCAGAAGAATGAAATACAAACTTTCACTGTAATAAAACTCTCAAATCTCAGATACTGACTGGTACATTCTAAATGTAGAGGTCAAAGGTCATACAGATATACAATTATATGATTCATTTCAGTTTCACAGCCTTTTACATTGTCTCAAATACATGACCAAGAAGGGATAGAACTAAAGATATTTAAATGTTACTTTTGTGGGTGAGAATATAAATACCATAAACAGGCTAACCAATAAAGTGATTTAGAAGTAAATACAGACAAATTTAAGCAACACCTGCATCAGAGTCTTAATATGTAACAAATCACTTGAAAATTTTAACAACATTAGTACTTAAGTAGCTGAGTAAATGTTAACTCTCTTTTGTAAACATAACAACCAAATGAAACAAAAACCAAAACTACAAATTATTCTAAAAGTGTGACCAAAAACTACGGCTAGTTTGCAGTTACCTGAAAGGCATAAGGTAGTGAACGTGGATAACATTTTCAGAGCATCTTCTAAGAGACTTGGCAGTGCACAGCACCAAACCCACAGTTTATGCATCACGTCAGCCAAGCCCATCTCTGCCGCGGCCACTTTAACATCGCTGTCACCATTTAGGAAATTGGTCAGTATTGTGAACAGGATACCAACATCCCTCAATACAGGACATACCTGTTGGGTGGTAAGAACCATGAACACAGTTTCCAGTAACACTAGTATGCATGTTGGTAGTGCTCAATCCCTTCACGTCGTGGACATTTTATGGGTGCGAAAAATGGTCTCTCGCCTGGAGGGAAGAACACAGATTGACACAGTGCTGAGGGGATATATTTGGACCTGCTATTGCGGTGATGAAACCAAGGAGCACTGGATGGGCTGCATATGTAGCAATCATGATTAAGATGAAAAATTTGTACATTTTTGGTCATAAAATCTGAAGACAGGAAACTACCTGAGATACACAGGCATGCAGACAAGGTGTTCTCAAAGAATAAAAAAGAGACACAAAAAAGTGACTATCTGTGTGACAGTTTGCTTGACTTCGGCCCCCAGTGGCTTCATGGTGACACACATAAACTGTCAGAAGACACGATTCACGGCTTACAAATATTAATATCCGACTTCTGTGGGTCACTGCTCTGGTAAGAAAGTGCCCCTTTCTCTAATAACCCACCGATGTAATTACCATCTAATGAACATGATAAATGCTGAAGCACTGCATATATACAAATGCAGTACACTTACCTTTTTCTTAGCGCTTACTCGACGCAGATTTTCAGCGGACTCAAGGCTCAACCTTACATGCAATTCTCGAAGTTGTATCACCAATGTCTCAAGCAGACCTTGTCTCAGAGCTGCTTTCTTTGCTTCTGCAGAAACTGCCAAGAGACTTGACAGAGCAGCTGTTACCAGTGTTTTGCCCTTAGCATCGCTGCCTTGTGGAAGACTATGTACTTCATAGAGTTTCAGAAGCAAACTGCAGAATCTTGCACCAAGTGCTTCATTCTTCAAAATTCCTCCCTCTGTCCTGACTGACGGAGATTCATTCATATCTGCATCTAACTTTCCTTTAGATTCCTTTGAGGAATGACACATGTTCTTGTTCTTATAATTTGTTATGCTTCTACTGGAGTCACTTTCAGTTTCACCGGCAGCAGACTGACAATCAGAAGACAAATGCTTTTGCTCATCGGATTCAGATATGATTCTGAGATGTTTTACTGAATGTTTGCTAGAAACAAGTCCTTTTCTGTGAAACACAGTTTCATACTGGAAAGAACCCATCTGTCCAAGAGGAAGCAAGGAATGCTGAGCTGTGTGAGAATCCTGTTCCTCAGGTACAGAGAAGTTATCATCCAGAATATTCTGCAGAGAACAGGACTCTCCTGGAACTGATCTCGTCCTGATCTCTTGTGACATCACTGACGTGAAGGATGTCAGGGCTGCGTAACGCAAGTCTGCTGATAAGTCAGTCTCGATAGCCGTCATAAGCGTAGAGAAGTATGGCCACGGTCCACATTGAAACAGGTTGTCTTGTACTGTTTCAAAACCTTGCTTTCCTGACAAGACAGCTGAGAAGAGTTTAAATAACTCAGTCCACAATTGATTGCGTAAGAACACCAGTTGAGGAGGAGTTGCTGTAAAGAAATAATATATGTTACAAGGACATGGGAAAAACATAAGACAACACATTACATAACAAACAAAGGCACCAAAATTTAATTATCACCAGAGTTTAACTGTATTTTCCATAAGAGTATGTTCTCAACAACAATTATGAAATTTGGATTTATAGCATTCAATATAAATGTATGTCTTCCATCTTCAAGGAATTAATCACATTCTGATTAATATCACATTCTACATGTCAAAGTGTTAAATTCTACATTGTTTTTGTAGAAGATGGATACAGATGTTCACTTGCTGATGCATGTGAAATGTCTATGTAGGATTTATTTCATGCATCTGTGTGTTGTATTCTTGTTCCTATCAAACACAACTTTGCTTGTCTACTATACTATGATTATACTACTGTCTTTCTTGTGGTAATGGTACATTAATTTAATGTTAAGTTCAACTTCTGTCATTAGGAATGGGGTGGCTCTATGAAAGCTCTTATAACTCTTACCAAACCTGCAAGATGGAGAAACCAAATTTTTGGGTACATAACACCTCCCCACTTTCAACACACTTAATGGAAGATATCCACTTGTTACAAGTAGATAGAAATTGATGTTGCTTTAATGGTTGGGTCTGATGAACTTATAATACACGATTTGAGAAAGATCATTATGGAGGAAACAACTGAGTTCCACCCACTGTACTTTTCCTCGACACTCCACGACAAGTTTGCTACAGCAACAAACAGATAAAAAAGGATATGTTGTATGTGTGTGTGTATATATACACACACACACACACACACACATATATATATATATATTCTTTTCCATAAACCACTTATTCTTAACTGACTTTAAAACAGTCCATTCATTAGTCAACAGTACTTATAGTTTTCATTCTGCGAACTAAACTCATTTTGCTGACAAAAACAAACATGCCAAGTATTTTCAAAAACCATCTACACATCAAGATGAGAACATAGAGAGATGTGAACGACTACTGAGGTACTCACAATACGTAACTGGATCAAGCAGCACTAGTAAAGAACGGACAAAGTCATGTGTGCCGACAACTGTACTGAGGCACGTTTCATCCAGTAAAACACACTTGGACAGAATACAGCAGATTGCAGTTTGCATTTCAAGGATATCCACATACTGGAGCACGCTGATATCACATGTATCTTGCTGAGGAACTCCTGCCACTAGGCAGCTGCAACATTCCATGAATATCAGTCAAATGATACCAACACTTGGACCAATAAATATTATCCATGATGTAATCTGTGTGAAAGCTAACACATGGATAGGCATATGAATTATTAACTTAGTATATTATCGTGTACAAACTCATCAATAAAATTGCCAAAACTGACATTAAAATAATTTTTTTTTAATTAAATACTTATAAAAATGTCCAAAGCATCAAGAGTTGACCAGAGTGCACAGTGAAACATCAGTACTTATTATATACAGAGAATATTCACACCCAAGAGACGGAGAGTAACCAGAAGGTGGGGAAAATTAGATTAGAAGCTTAATAAATTGTACTCCTTGCAAGATATTACTGAAGTGATTACATCAAGGATGAGATGGACAGGGTATGTAACACAAATTAGGAACATGGACAATGTATAAAACATTTCAGTCAGAGAGCCTTAAGGAAGAGACCACATAAAGGCCTGGGCACTGAAGTGAGAATAAAATTAAAATGGATCTTAAAAATAATATACCAGGCCAACAAAATCCAGTCTCCTTCAACTACTATCTCCCATAGATCCCGCCTGACATTACCCTCCCATCTAAGTCCAGGTCTCCCCAGCAGTCTCTTCCCCTCAGGCATCCCAACCAACATCTGGTGCACACCTCTTGTCCCATCCATGCGTGCTAAATGCCCCGCCCATCTCATTCTTCTCGACTTAATCACACTGCCAATACTCGGGGAGGAGTACAAATTTTTAAAAGTACATAATAAAATAAAATCCTAGAATTTACTGCACGCTCCTCAAATATTGCCGTGCTGATGGCATCAGGATCTGCAGATGCTCACCTGAATAACAACCTGACCAGGCTAAATTTATTGATGCGATGAAGTGCATCATCAGGACTGAGAGTCAACAAATTGACCAACAGCCAGCAAACTGCCTTGACGAGACCTGGTGTGGTCTTCACGTGAGACTCCACGTGCAAACTGCCATCAGCAAAACTTTTGGCTGGTGCTGAAAAAACCGTATTTATTTAAATTCATCAGTGTATAAACTGAATGGAAGTTCACTGAGCATTATAACAAATATTAAAAGTATCTTACACTGGTATAGAACCTTTTGGTGTTCTGAAGAATCAGACCTCAGACATTCCACAGTAGAAAATATTTCATAAAAGAAAATAAATCTAAAAGCCAAACAAAAAGCACAATCCAACAGCTTATAAAGAGGAAAATGATTAATACAAATACAACGAAGTATTAAATACAGTAGCCTGTCAATTATCCATTAGCAGTGGTGTCTTGTGAACACAGTAATTAACCTCTGAGATCCACAAAATGCAAGGAACGTTTTGACTAGCTGAGTGATTATCAACTTCCCAAGAAGGACTCTGCTACAGAAGTTAGTTTGTAGTTAATTACAACTTGAAAATATGCACAGCACCACACAGATGTGATGAAGCTATTGAAGTTCAAGTAATAAAAAAATTGGGGATGTTATTATTGCATCCCAAGACAGGGAAATGATAAGCCAAAATTTTGCATTTGATTGTTTGACATCACTGAGAGGCACAAACATGGAAGCAAGTTAAGGTAATTAAATTTCTTTACAGAGATGTTCCTTTTGCCACAGGCTACTCCTTTTCAAACTGAACTGATACTTGCATGTGTTACTGGACATGCACACCATTTTGTATGTCATTCATGGATCTGAAGTCTTTATATGAACTGTACAAACCTCTAGGATCAATGGAAGAACTGCTTTCAGAGTTCCTGTTACAGACCACTGAATAATGTTCACGCGGAATTCCCTCCTCTGGTGGCACTTGCTGACTGAATGAAGACCTGGCACTCCAGCCATCTGCCCTGTTAAATCCATTTGGATCCACTGTCCTGCCCATACAGAGACGTGACAACACTGTAGCTACCTCTCCGTAGAAGTTGCACTGAGAAAGAAGAGACTCAAGTGCCTGGACTCCAGTCAGTGGCACCTGAAAGTGGGACAACAGTGAAAGGGACTAAACCAAATACGACGATGCGTAACTCTGCCATGAGAAACAATGACAACCCTCATAGGCACATTACAAATAGTCTCCCCACTACCACTACCTAATGGTTCATGATTCAAATGAGGAGAGGATTGACATATGTGATCTGGCTTCAGGACTTCAGGGTTAGGAAACAGCACAGTCCAGTACGTGGCTACCAATGTTACACAGAAACTTGCCACTTCCATCTTCAAAGTAGAAGAAAAAACAATATCAATTGCGAGTCATATTATAAGAGTACTGAGCACTCAGATGGCTGTCACACTGTTAATTTCTTCTGCTCATGGAAGATGCAAAAGGAGGTCTGTGGATCACAAAACAATTCCACTTC